ACTCCTGTTATCTAAAGAGTTCGTGTAGAATAAATACCCATTAATTTTAAATGCAGTCTAGCATATAACATCACATTCAGGACCTTGTGCTAGGCCTTTAACAATATCAGAAATACAATCTTCCTTCTCAATCTTATGAACTACTTTGCAAAAGTATTATTATGTTCCCTAATCAGTCTTTGTTCATTCATCTTAGATCGACTATTTTGCTTCCTCACAAGTTCTTTATGCTCACTTATGTAGTCTTGAACTTGATCAACATTATTCAAGATGTGTAAATGAGCTTGTTGCAATTCATGAAGATCCACACTCTTTACAAAAATGCCACGTCTATGATCTTTGACATCACGTTGTCTCAATCCAAGCAGTCGTATATTATTCAAGTAATCTTGGTAAAATTCTGCTACTTCTTTAGAGACATATTTTTAAACAATGGATGCTTCAGGATGTCGTGGACTCTTCACATACCCTTTTAGGACTTTCATTGTTCCTTCAATTGGGTGCATCCATTGTAAATGAACAGGACCATGCAACTTTATCTCCCTCACTAGATGAACAATTAGATGTATCATAATGTCAAAAAATGATGGAAGAAAGAGTTTTTCAAGTTGGCACAAGATAAGATATTCTTCCTTTTCCAATTCATCCAATTCTTTAATCTCATGGACTTTACGACATATAACATTGAAGAAAAAGCAAATTCTATTTATGACATCTCTCAGTTCATCTTTCCAGAAACCTCGATTAGCCACCGAGAATAGTTATTGCATTAAAAATGGCAATCATAAGACTTGAGGCCTACAAATTTCAAATCCTTCATCAACACAAGCTTTTTAAAATTTGAAGAATATCCTGAGGGAACTTTCATGTTGTACAAGCAATCACAAAAGCTCATTTTCTCATCCTTACACAATATATGTTTAGCCGGGGGACAATAAGTCCGCTTACCATCTAGCCTTAGGTGTAATTCTTCTTTAATTTTTATATCCACCAAATCTAATCTTGCTTTCACACCATCCTTGGACTTGACCAGTATATTGAGAAGTGTTCCAATAATACTATCACACACATTCTTCTCCATGTGCATGACATCAATACAATGCCTTGCATCAAGATAGCGCGAATATGGAAGGTCAAAGAAGATAGAGCTCTTTTTCCATATATTTTTTTTACTAGTCTTTATAGCTTTACCGAATGTAACATTGATGTCTTTCACCAATTCATAAACTTGCTCTCCTGTCAATTGCTTTAGGGTAATTTCATCCTCTTGGCCGCCATAAAAAGCTTTCTTCATTTTATGATAACAGTGACCCTCTTCAAGAAATCTCCTATGGCCAAGGTAGACTGTCTTCTTTCTATGATGAAATTGATAGTAACATGTGCCTTCTTCACAAATTGGACATGCTTTATGCCCCTTAATACTATAACCTGACAAGTTTCCATATGCAGGAAAGTCATTTATGGTGAAAAAGATCATTGTACGTAGCTTGAATACCTCCTTCTAATTCGTGTCAAACACGTCCACACCTACCTCCCACAGCTTTTTCAAGTCTTCAATCAAGGGTTTTAGGTACATATCAATGTAATTCCCTGGTTGTTTCGGTCCCGAAATGAACATAGATAACATGATATACTTACGTTGCATGCACAACATAGGGGATAAGTTGTAAATCACCAATAAAACAGGCCATGAGCTGTGTATATTGCTAAGGTTGCCATAAGGATTCATGCCATCTATACTAAGTCCAAGCTGAGATTCCTTGGATCAATGCTAAACTCAGGAAACAATGTATCAATTTTCTTCCATTGTTCCGAATTAGCAAGATGTCGAAGCTTTCCATTAGAAATCCTCTCATCCGCATACCATCTTAGATTCTTTGCATCCTTTTCATTAGCAACAACTATTGAAACCTTGGTATAATTGAAAGATACCATAGTACCTTTGCAGGAGCTTTGTTCTCTTTATACCTTTGTATCTCACATATCGGACACTTCTGCTCCTCTTTATGCTCTTTCCTATACAATATGTAGTCATTAGGGCATGCATGTATTTTCTTAAATTTCATGCCCAGTGGACATAGAATTTTCTTTGCCTCATAGTAACAAACCGACAACACATTCTCTTTTGGAAGCATTAATTTCAACAACTCAAGCATTTATGTGAAACTCTTGTCGCTTTACCCAGATCTAGCTTTTAAGTTTACCAATTCTAACACTGCTTTCAATAGACTATATTCCTCACAACCCAGGTACAAAGGTGTCTCTACATCATCGCACATATTATTATACACCTGGGATTCCTCAAAGGCCTCTTTACCTACATCATGAATCATGTCCTCCAATCGATCAGTCATATCATCATTATCATAGTCATCATTAACATCCTGAGATTGAGATGTACTTGGCATCGGCATGTTCAATCTTTCACCATGCCATATCCATACTCTATAACTTTTGAGAACCCCTCACAAATTAAATGTTCATATATGTCATTTACACTTAACCGCCTCTCATTCAAACAGTCCCTATAAGGACAAGAAAACCTCCTACTATCATCTTCAGCATTGTTTTGAGCAAATTCCAGAAACCCTTTAACCCCATTAACATATTCTGTACTTGTTCATTTAGCATCTATCCAACTACGATCCATGTATAATTTGACCTCCTAAAACATGATAGAGTTCATGGATTATTACCAAATCTATTACAATAGGGCCAAACCAAAAGTTCTAAAATAGAGGAAGGGATAGGCAATTCTATATTATTTGGCTCTTTCCATATAAAGGAAAGGGTAAATAATAATTTTTAAAAAATTTTCGGCGAAGTCTCCCCTAAAAACTGGACTTTTCAATAATTTTATAATAGAAAATATAATAGCATAACTTTACAAATATAATAGATTCAAAATTTTAAAACCAAGACTTTACAAATAAAAATTGCTCAATAGCCATTCCTAATTATTCCATAAAATTAAACTTTTTTGTTAGAACGTCAAATGTAAATTATTTCCAAACCACACCATAAAGCCTTTTTTTTTTACTCAACTAACTACACATATCTTCATCACCACTTCATTGTTAAATTCCTTTACACTATTCACGTGAAGTTCAAGAGTCATTAACACCTGAACTATATATGCTTCTTATATCTTAAATATGAGTTAGTTAAATCCCAAAATACATATTCAAACAAAATTCCTTCTAACAAGTATTTTATCAAACACTTGGCAAGCATCCAATCATACACCAATACCAAGTTCTTCCTCGTCAATTCCAACTCTGAAAATTTTATAATAAAGATATTTGAATCCATTAACTTCCAGAATATATATATACACCTTAATGAAAAATACTTAAGTGGATTATAAGAATCATGCCATTTCTCGTCTAATATGGTCCTACCTTCTTTATTCTTGAATGCAGTAAGTGGATTATAAGAATCATGCCATTTCCCTTCTTGGAATTCTTTTCCATACAAGTGATTCATGATCTATACATTTAATAAGTGAAGGCAACACCTCAGTCTTCCCTTTTTCTTAGTATGGCAATGGCTTAAAGTCATGTAGGTTTCTGCCAGAATTGCTGGTATGGGGTTAATTCGGTGATATTCTACCATGTAAAATACACTGATTGCATGTAAATCAATTATCCCTATAACAAATGGGAATAAGATTATTCCATAAATTACCATAGCAAAAACCCTATTGAAAACAATCCATCTTTTCTGTTCAGCCAATTTAACCATGTATTTCTCCATAAATGCCCTTGAAATCCCCTCCTCCTTTCCTGGACAAAGAAATTTGAGCTCCTCAATATTTAGGTCAAGAAGCTTGGCAATTTGATTTTTTAATGGTACATATCTTGGGTATTTATAAACTTGATCTCCTTCCTCAAGAGGTATCTCTAAGAAAGCTCCATATTCCTCTATTGTAGGAGCGAGTTGAAAGTCTGGGAATGTAAAACATCTCAACATATCATCTCAGTACTGCCCCAAAACAATCATGGCATCAGTTTAAACTGGTACGTAAAGCAAGTCCAAAAGATCCCCATATTTCTTCCTAAAACCAAATAATGAATTCCTTTTGATGTGTCAAGAAAATTCTTTCAAGTCATCTAATGTTTCCATCATTGCCTCCAACTTTATTCCCTTGCCTCTATACACCACTCTCGTTGGAATTCACTACAACAAAACAACGTTTTTCTTCCGGCATAAATCTGTGAGAAATCACTTAAATTTTTTGAGAAATAATTTTCTCATAGCATTTCTCATGCCAAAAGGTTCGTTACTAAACCTATCAAAGGAAAAAACATTTCACACGAATGGAACTGTGAGAATCATTTCTCATGCCCTTATCCGTAAGAAGTTCTTACTGAGATGAAATTCGTGAGAAGTTCTTGCGGAAACTTTGTGAGAGTATTTCCTTTAATATAAATTTGTGACAACTTCTCACATATTATTGGCATGAGAAATTCTCTCATATAAGGATGTTGTGAGAATTTCCTATGATAATATTCTATGAGAAATTCTCATGCATAATAAAGCTGAGAGAATTTCTTTTAAAATAATACTGAGAGAAATGTAAGACAAATTCTTATATACAACATCCATGAGAAATTCTCTCATAACAATACACCGTGAGAAATGCTAACAGTTTGTTTAATTGTTTTTCTCACTAATTTGATGAATTAATTTTCATGAGAAATTTATTCTCACAGAATTTTATTAGAAGAAATTTTGTAAGAACTCTATATTATTATCATTATTTATTTGATTATTTAAAAATTCTATTATAAACTTGTTAAAATATTTCTCAAATAACAGACAACAACTAAAAATAGTTGACATATAAGCACATATGTCACAATTGAACCATCAGAAAATTGCATTATATCATAATGTTTATAGCAAAGTTCATAATACTATGCAATAAAAGTCATAACACATAAAACATGAAATCACATAAATTCATTCTCACTGAACTCATCATCCTCATCATCCTCTTCATCATCAGAACCATCTTCTTGTGAGTCATTCTCCAAATCACCACAACCCTCCTCATTATTGGTTTTAGAAAAACCACCTTTTTCAAATTTGCTTATCTGTGCCATAATCATTGCCCATTTTTGATCCATTCTTTCTTCCCTAGCACGAAATTCTTCCTCCCTTCTTTCTTCCCTAGCTCAAAATTCTTCCTCCCTTACTTGCAAAGATTCAACAACCTTTTCAAATCTATCCTCATAAAATTTTTTCTGTTCTTCTAGTTGTTTCTTTAAGAGTGCAATCTCACCAAATGTATTGGCACATTGAGTTCCATTAGAATTAAGAAGCCCTGCCTGTGTTCCAAGCCCATAAACTCGACCCCTCTTATTTTTCCCCCCAACCACCTGAAGCCATAAAGCAGAATCGAAAATACTAGCATCGGATTCTTGACATTCTTTTAATTGCTCAAACTCATTCTGCATTAAAATAAAATAATGTTAAAATGTATGCCTAAAAACAAAAAAAAAGAATAAAGACTTAAATAACTTACATAAGTGTCAGCAGCTCTCTTTCCAACCTAACCTTTTTCCTCATCATGTTGAATTTTCTTGAAAACCTCAGGATATTCACAAGGCCTTCCCAATTCAACTTCCTACATGATTTATAAAAAATGATAGGATTAACTCAATAATTAAAGAATGAAAAAAATACATATATATTTGAATAATTCTTACCATTCTTCTTCTATGCTCTATAAATGTTATTCGTCCCCCTTTATGCACACATCCTCCTGTGTTAGCTGCTCAATTTTTTTTTATTTTTCTCAGATTTGGCTTTAAATTCATTACTTTCCCAATATTTTTCAAGCTCCTTTCGAGGTCCAGGCATTAACCATTCACCTTTTGTTTTCCCAATTCGAATGTCCCTCAAAGAGGAGCGAATTACCCCACTATATTTCTTCTTCCATATTTTATGAACATCACCATCTAAAGTTGGGTCCCAAGCACATCTTAGCTACATATAAAAATATGAAAATGTCAAGTGCTATAAAATAAAATATTTGTATCAATAAGTTGTAAAGAATTAGTAAATTAGCTCACTTTGAATTCATTAAACCATAAATTTTTAACATTTTATGGGACTTTACTAAATGCAGGCCATCCACTCTCATACTTTGAATGGATTATTCTAGATAAGATTGACACTGATTCAACTGAAGGAAGTGACCTACAAAAAGAACAAGAATTAGTATATAACAAGTAACAAGTGATAACATAAAAATTCCAATAAAAGATACTTACTCCTCATTACCCTCAGTCGAATCACCAGGCGACCATCACTTAATCTAGACCCGACATCATATGTTTGATTAGACAAGCCAGCTATATCTGTACTCAGTCTAGAAGAATCAACCTCGAATCTCGGTGATCGATTGCTAGCAACTTGCGGCTGAGTTCGTGGTAATTGTGTGACCAATGGTGATTGGGGTGGTAAAGGATGTGTCTCAGGTGGTGATAGTCATGTATAAGGTAGTGATGGCTGTGTATTAGGTAGTGATGGCTGTGTTTGAGGTATTAAAAAAGAAGCAAGTGATTGGGATTGTGATGATTTCGTTATCTTAGCCTTCTTCTTCTTCTTCTTAGATATCACTATATCTTTTTGAGAAGACGTCATCTAAAGTTAATTAAATAAATAAATAAGTAGATAACTAAATAAAATAAAATTTTATAATAACAAACTAACTAATAAGAATAATAAACAACATAATAATAATTACTTTACCAATTATAATCAATCACTGGCTAAATAGTAATCAGAAGGAGGATCTTCTTCTGTCTCAGATGTATCAGTAGGCAGTATATCTTCATTCAAATTTTCATCACTTGATTGTGAATGATCATCAATATCCTCTTCATTCTCACATGAGAGTGCATTATCAAATTCTTCACTCTCACCTATATTATCTTGTAAATCTTGTTCATCATGTTCGTACTCAATTAATTGGACTTGTCGATTGGTGTCATCTTGAAATGGTGTATCTTCATTTTCATTATCAATATCATCAACTCTATTCCTCGCTTTGGTTGTAATAACAACAAGCCAATTTTTCTTGGCAATAATTAATTTTGGACATGGTGTAAAATACACTTGTTGAGCTTATTGTGCAAGAATAAATGGATCATCCCCCTTGTATGTTCTTTTCGCATTTACCTCAACAGTGCCATATTTAGGAGAAACTCGAGTTCCTCTTGAACTAGGATCAAACCATTTACATTTAAAGATTGTTAAAAACTTGAATGGTTTTCTAGTGAACTGTAATTGTATTATCTCCTCTAAGACACCAAAGTAAGAAGATTCAAGTTGACCATGATTACTTCCCTTAACCATAACTCCACTATTAGTGGTCTTCCTCCCTTTTGCCCATACATTAGTATGAAACTTGTATCCATTTACTGACCATTGATGAAATGTTTTTGCTGGCCTCATAGGACCCCAAGCCAAAGAAATCAATAACTCATCTTGTATATTATTTTGAGGATTGAAAATCTATTTCAAATAAAATATCTACATTAGTATGATTTTATAAAATATGATCTCATATAAATTCATTAACACAAACTTACATAATCTTTGAACCATGTAGGAAATTTGGAAGATATACACTTATCCACCTTCTCATTTGATAAAGTATGATCCATAAAAAGCAATTCATTGACATAAATGCTATATAACACAAAATAAGATTAGCCTTAGAAAAAGTATATGTTGAGTCAAATAGGAAATTACAATGTGATATATATAAAATCTTACTTGAGAATAGGTTTAACTTCAGGACAATTAAGAAGAACATACAAGATTATTGCATGTTCCTCCTCTGGGGTAAGTTGACGAGTGTTTTGTGTTATTTTTCCATATGGTTGGCTAGGATAATTGAAGATGGAGATAGGAGGATAATCATCACGCTCCCCACCATCATCATTACGGGGAACTCTTCTAGTTCTTGATTGAACATGTTCCTCAAAATAATAAGAGCAAAAGGTAGAAGTTTCTTCAAGAATGTACGCTTCACAAATAGAACCTTCAACATGAGCCTTGTTCTTTACCTTTCTCTCTAATGTGTATAAAAACCTTTCAAATGGATACATCCACCTGTATTATACAGGGCCACCAACTATAGCTTCATAACTCAAGTGAACAGATAAATGCTCCATGACATCAAAAAAAAACCTGGAGGAAATATCTTCTCAAGTTTGCACAAAATGATGGGAATGTTCGCCTCCATTACTTTTAGGTTATTTATATGTAATGTAGGTGCACAAAGATCACGAAAAAAATGACTTAACTCTGTTATAGGATCACATACTGAGGGTGGTAACCCAGTGCACACTATTGGTAATAGTCTTTCCATGAAAACATGACAATCATGACTCTTCATTCTAACCAACGTGCAACTTTTCAAGTCAACACAACGTCCCAAGTTTGACACATAACCATCAGGAAGCTGTAGACTTTTTACCCACTCACACACTGCTCGCTTTTGTTCCATATTAAAAGTATATGTAGCTCCATTATAAGGACGTTGACAATATAAAGGCAAATCTAACCTAGCTTTCTCATTATCTTTCGTTTTATCTTTCACATTCATTATAGTATTAAACACATTATGAAATACATTTCCTTCTGTGTGCATTACATCTATGTTATAGGGATTTAAAAGGTCACGCCAATAAGGAAGGTCCCAAAAAATGCTTCGCTTAGTCCATTTATGCTCCTTGCCATATCCTGGGAGATGTAAATTTAGTGATTCTATTATTTTAGGAAATCTCCTAACTTGCTCAAACAATTCACCACCTGAATATCTTGATGGTGGTTCAGAGTTCTCTATTTTGTTCTTTCTAAAACTCTTTTTATTTCTCCTAAACAGATGATTTAAGGGAAGGAATTGACGATGACAATCAAAATAGCAAGGTTTGATCCCATGTTTTAATTGAAATGCCTTCAATTGGTCCATACAAATTGGACAACCCAATTTTCCTGTTGTTTGCTAGCCACTTAACATACCATATGCAGGAAAATCATTAATCGTCCATATAAGGGTAGCTCGTAAGTTAAAATTTTGTTGTAATGATATGTCATACGTCACTACACCCTCTTCCCAAAGCAACTTCAATTCATCAATTAAGGGTTGTAAGTAAACATAAATTCAACTTTTTGGATTACTTGGTCTAGGAATTATGATTGTCAAGAACATATATTCTCGTCGCATACACATTCTAGGTGGAAGGTTGTAAAGAGTAACAATAACAGGCCAACAAGAATATGACCTAAAACTCATATTGAATGGACTAAAGCCATCAGAACAGAGACCTAATCAAACATTTCTTGGCTCTAATGCAAATTCTGGATGTGTTAGATCAAAATGCTTCCATGCTTCCCCATCTAATGGATGGGACAAGACACCTTCATCTCGACGATTTTCATAATGCCATCGTATATATTTGGCTGAGGCTTTAGATGTAAATAACCTTTGGAGTCTTGGAATTAATGGTAAGTACCACATTTGTTTTGTTGAGATCTCTTTAAACCTTCTTTTTCCAATTCTTGCCTCCTTAAATCTTGCAATCTTACAAAATTGGCACTTCCTCTCATTTATCGCATTGCCATAATACAACATACACCCATTACTATAACAATCAATCTTTTGATAACCACAACCAAGTTGGGTGACTAATTTCTTGGTTTGATACAACTTTGAAGGCATATGATGGGTTTTTGGCAAGATCTCATTTATCAATGTGATAATTTCATCCATACAAGCCTGTGGAATGTTATAATCAGACTTGATGCTCAATAATCTCACAGCAATTGACAACACAGTATGATTTTCACACCCATCCTATAACGGAGATTGTGAAGCACGAAGCATGTCATAGAACTTTACAGAATTTGTGTTAGGATCCTCATTCATGTCATGGCCATTAAATGATGGCCCAACAGCATCCCTAACCATTTGCTCATATGGATTTGAAACTGTGTGAATGTTAACATCAGTTAAAGCCATTTAGGGTCTTTCCTTACCATGGTTGTGCCAATAATAATAGTCAGGCATAAACCCTTTATTATACAAATGCATCTCGACTTCAACAGGCTTTAAGCATTTTAGACATTTACATTTTGCACAAGGACATCTAATTAATTCCTTATTAGTTTTAAAATCCTCTCGATTCCTTACAAACTTAATAAACTCTTCTACCCTAGCAAAGAACTCATCAGTGATCTTTAAACGCTTCCCTACACATCTATTATCCATCCAACGACGATGTTCAGGTGGAGTCATCTATCAATAATGGAACATTATTTCATAAACCATATTCTATCTTATAAATAAAAGTTAACTTTTCCTATAATTGAATTTCAAAAGTTGTGTAACGATAAGGAAGTGAGAGCAATATAATGGTAAGAATGAAGTGATAGTGAAAAATTATATATGGTTGACAATCCAAAGAGGTAACATGTTATTGTCTTAAAAATGAAGAAGAGATTTGAAAAGGTCTAATTATATTTTCTTTTTATTTTTAATCATAAATCAATAAATTGAATTCAAAATAAATCAACAATCATTTATTTTTTAATTCACGTGACTATCCTCTTATTTATTTGAAGGGGTTTAAAAATTAAAGTAATGCCCAGGTTCTTTAGAATGAAAATTATAGGTTAACATCTAAAATTTTTTAATTTCTAATGCTTTAGGTAAATTGATTTGATGGGACATGGATATTTATTTACATTTTTTTATAGGCCATTGTCTTTATTGAAGTTTCATTCATAGATTTGAGGTTATCTCTCATCTAGTCATCTTATTAAAATTTGTCCATAAAAAAATAATTAGTAAATGTGGACCATAACATTTTTAAGTTTAAGCTCTAGCTGAATTTTAGCTTTGGTATATAATTAATTTGTGGCCGTAGGAGTTAGCATTTGCCATAGATTCATGTGCTCATACATTTGTGTCATAATGCTTGCATGTGTGTGTTTTCCTATTATAGTTGGGGCTTTAGGATCAAAGTTGTTTTTCAAAACAACAACACAACAGAGTCAATCAAGAGCATGGCAAAGAACAGAGTAATAATAAGCAAAGCAGATCAACCCAAGCAAATATTCATTATTAGAAGTTTTGAGCAAATAAATGGGTGTCCACTCTAACCAAGCAATAGAAGGATTTCAATTTAGAAGATTAAAACAGAACACAATATTATGCAACAAGCTAAACTCATAAATTGAACAAATGTACCTTATATCCTTATGCTTCACAATCCTTTGTGGGATTAAACTCAAACCTGAAAAATGAAGAAGCAATCACATAAAGAGGAACATGAAATTTTCTAGCAAAAAGAATTAGATTAAATGAAATTTATATGTGATAATGAAGTAAACATTTTCCAAGCATTGCATTGATCTGAAAGCATATTACTCCCCAATGAAGCCTTAAGGCCTTTTGCGTTTTTATCTCAATTTACTAGCAAGCATGCCACTTGATTATATAATAACGTGTATGTGTGCATGACAACAAGATCAATCTTTTTTATGAA